CCTGCCTCGCCTGCCTTACCCGCCATGGCACACCTCTCCCAGCTAAGCTCAGCCTCTGGGAGGAGGCCTGCACCCGATCCCAGCTCTGCCACCAATGGCCTGTGAGTGGCAGTCGCCTGCACACTCTGGCCTCAGTTTCCTCATCAGTAAACTGGGGTGCTGATAACCAAGTTGTCTGCACAGGTGTTGATGTCCAACAGGCCCAGCTTGCAGGACAAATGGGCGAATGGTCAAGAAGGCAGGCACTGTGCCCAGGGCTGAGGAAGCCCTGCAGGGTCACAGCCCAACCACGGGGTCGAGGGAGAGGCAGGGCAGGGCGGGCAGGCCCCCAACCGCATCTCCTGATGACAGCCTGCAAAGCTGCCCAGCAGGGGCAAAGGCTGAAGTTCCCCAGTGGCACGAGCCTCCAGCCAGCCCTGCACCCCCTCCACAGCCCCTGAGCACCCCCAGGCTGACTGGCTTCCATCCCCAGGGCACACGCTGCTGATCAGTCTTAGGGACCAGAAACCTGCATTCCAGTCCCAGCTTAGACACCAACCTGCTCTGTGTCCCTGAACAAGTCTCTTGCTGACCTGCACCTCAGTTTCCTTCCCTTCCTGCAAAGGAGGGGCTGTGTCAGACCTCTGAGGTCTGGTCTGTGTCAGACCCCTGGGTGGGGTGGGCTGGGGTTGGAGGCTGAATCAGTAGATGAAAAGGATAAGGGACTGGAGAAAAATTGAAGGAAAAGGCTGATGCTCTCACCTGTCCCCAGAGGGCCACTTCTAGGGATGGGTAGAAAGTTGTTCTTTGATTCTTTGGAACACAGCTAAGTTAGTGTTAATGGGAAATTTGTAGCACTAAATGCCCACATGAAAAACTGAGAAAGATCTGAAATTAACAACCTAACTTCACAACTGAAAGAACTAGAGAAGCAAGAACAAATCAACCCCAAGCCTATCAGAAGATGAGAAATGACAGAAATCAGAGCTGAACTGAAGAAAATCAAGACACACACAAAAATTCAAAAGATCAATGAATCCAGTTGTTTTCTGAAAAACGAAATTAGCCGGGCGTGGTGGCTCAAGCCTGTAATCCCAGCACTTTGGGAGGCTGAGGTGGGTGGATCACGAGGTCAAGAGATCGAGACCATCCTGGTCAACATGGTGAAACCCCGTCTCTACTAAAAATACAAAACATTAGCTGGGCATGGTGGCGCGTGCCTGTAATCCCAGCTACTCAGGAGGCTGAGGCAGGAGAATTGCCTGAACCCAGGAGGCGGAGGTTGCGGTGAGCCGAGATCGTGCCATTGCACTCCAGCCTGGGTAACAAGAGCGAAACTCCGTCTCAAAAAAAAAAAAGAAAGAAAGAAAAATGAAATTAATAAAACAGGCCACTAGCTAAACTAATAAAGAAGAAAAGAGAAGATCCAAATAAATATGAGAAATGACTAAAGGAATATTGCTAATGAGACCACAGAAATAAAAACAACCATCAGAAACACGAACACCTCTACACACGAAAACTAGAAAACCTAGAAGAGATGGGTAAATTCCTGGACACATAATTGTCCCATGACTGAGCCAGAAAGAAACTGATTCCCTGAACAGACCAATAATGAGCTCTAAACTGAATCAGTAATAAATAACCTATCAACTAATACGAGTCCAGGATCTGATGGTTTCATAGCCGAATTCTACCAGATGTACAGAGAAGAGCTGGTACCATTCCTCCTGAAACTATTCAAAACAACCGGGGAGGTGGACTCCTCCATAACTCATTCTGAGGCCAGCATCACCTTGATGCCAAAAACTGCCAGAGATACACACACAAAAAGAAAAAATCGTGTTTTTTGTTCTTGAAATCCTCCCCTTCCCTTCATTCCTTTGGCTAAGCGTTACTCTGATCAATCTCTCCTTTAAAATGCACCTCCAAGGCTCCAGCTGCCAGGGTGCTGAATCCAGGTTCACTATGTCTCATGCCCATTCTAATGCTATTTAGAGGCTCCCCAGGGGTAGCGGGGGAGGGGGTTCGTTCATGCATTCCTTCAGCAGATGTTATTTCTGTGCACTAGTGCCTTCTGTGCGCCAGGCCATGTACCAAGAGGAAATTCTGCTCAGGGAATGAGCTCCCAGAAGGTAGAATCCTTAGCACTGCCCTCACGAGGGTATCTGCTAGGGCTCTGCACACAGTGGGTGTTCAGGCAACAGTGTTTATCAATTGACTAACCAATCAACCAGGCTCCCCTGTTGGAGGAATAGCCCTACTTTTTCCTCATTCTTGCCTGAAATTCCATTAGTGATTCATTTCTTTAAGCACTGCCCTCACTAGCCTCCCCTTCAGAAGGGAAACACTTTCACACCCACGTTTAACAGATTTCTGATCTCTTTTCCCGTGATAAGGAAGAACAGAAAGGGGAAGTCCCGCTGGCCATGGGGGACCTCACGTGGTGCTCGCCCTGCCCAGGACAGCAGGACAAGAGGCTGCTGGCTGACTCTGCACATTGCTGAGGTCCCCACCCTGACAGGGGGTCCAGCAGTGACAGCAAGGCATGAATGGGGCTGGGAGGTACAAGAAGAGCTGCATAGGCCTGGTGCGGTGGCTCACACCTGTAATCCCAGTACTTTGGGATGCCAAGGCAGGTGAATCGTTTGAGGCCAGGAGTTCGAGACCATCCTGGCCAACATGGTGAAACCCCATGTCTACTAAAAATACAAAAATTAGCCAGACATGATATGGTATGTGCCTGTAGTCCCAGCTACTCAGGAAGCTGAGGCATGAGAATCACTTGAACCCAGGAGGCAGAGGTTGCAGTGAGATGGGCTCATGCGACTACACTCCAGCCTGGGCAACAGAGTAAGGCTTTGCCTCAAACAAAAAAAAATGGCCAGGCGTGGTGGCTCAAGCCTGTAATCCCAGCACTTTGGGAGGCAGAGGTAGGCGGATTACGTGGTCAAGAGATGGAGATCATCCTGGCCAACATGGTGAAATCCTGTCTCTACTAAAAATACACAAATTAGCTGGGCATGGTGGCATGCACCTGTAGTCCCAGCTACTTGGGAGGCTGAGGCAGGAGAATTGCTTGAACCCAGGAGGCAGAGGTTGCAGTGAGCTGAGATTGTGCCACTGCACTCCAGCCTGGCACCTGGCGACAGAGTAAGACTCTGTCTCAAAAAAAAAAAAAAAAAAAAAAGAGAGAGAGAGAGAGATCTATTTCATAGGCCCTTGGACAGATGCAACCCAGAGTAACTGCTCTCCTGGAGGGGCAGGAAGGATGTGCATTTACGTCTTAACTCCTAGGCTGCTAGTATTCTGTTTAGAAAGGCAGCATAGCCCAAAAGACGGCAAGCAAGCTGGATTCACAACGTATATCAGGATGATTTCCAAAGAGAGCAAGAAACTATGGGAGAATTATCATATGATGCTGTAGTGAATATGGCCTTTTTATCCTGATACAAAACCCAAAAGCCATAAAAAAAAAAAGACTGATAAATTCAGTTACATGAAAAAACAAAATATGCAAGGTAAAAACTATCAAAAGCGCAATCAAAAGACACACGACAGATTAGGGAAACATTTGTGACTCATAACACAAGGAGGTAATCGCCTTCATACGTAAAGAGCTCCCAGAAATAAAAAAGAAAAAGACCAATAACCCAATAGAAAAATGGGAGCAGACCAGGAAGAGCAAGTTTACAGAAAAGTCAATCCAAATGACTCTTAAACATTTGAAAGGCCAGGTGTGGTGGCTCACACCTGTAATCCCAGCACTTTGGAAGCCTGAGTCAGGCAGATCACATGAAGCCAGTAGTTTGAGACCAGCCTGGGCAACATGGCAAAACCCCATCTCTCCTAAAAAATACAAAAACTAGCCAGGTGTGAAGGTGCACGCTTGTAATCCCAGCTACGTGGGAGGCTCGGGCATGAGAATCACTTGAACCTGGAAGGCAGAGGTTGCAGTGAGCTGAGATCACACATGTACACCAGCCTGGGTGACAGAGTGAGACTCTGCCTCAAAAAAAAAAAAAAAAAAAAAAAACCCACAGCATTTGGAAGGAAGCTGACCACACTCATAATGAAAGAAACACAAATTAAAACTACCATGGTAGCCAGGCACAATGGGATGCACCGATAGTCCCAGCTGCTTGGGAGGCTGAGGCAGGCAGATCACATGAGCCCAGGAGTTTGAGCCCAGCTTGGGTAACATAGCAAAACCCCCATCTTGAAAACAAAAACAAAACTACCATACAAAACCATTTTTACCTATCTGATTGGCAAAGGTCAAAGTATTTTATAAGTTTGTGTTGGAAACAGGCAGTCACATTCCCTCCTGCAAGAATGTTTAAGTCAGTACAGCCCCCAGTGAAGGCAGTTTAATAACATCTAACAAAGTCACTAAAGGACATATTTGCTTTTTGACTTACCAAATCCATTTTGAGTAATTCATCATACAAACACTGTCACAAGTGTGAAATGACATAAGTATAAGATTAGTAATCGAACATTATTTGTAATAACAAAAGATTGAAAAGAACATACCTATCAGTCAGGAACTGATGAAATAAATTATGATACAACCTTACAATGGAATACTACGCAGCTGTCAAAAAGCCTGATGCTACTTGAAATGTCACAGGGTATCCTGTGAAAAAATCCACATGGCAGCGTCTGGAACAGATAAGGACTGAACCAGGACACAGAAAAACCAAAACTGTTGATTTCACAGAGTGGATAAATTTCACTTCTCATTTTCAGTTTCCATTTCTATTGTCAGCGTGTTGCTTATGAGACAAAAAAAAAAAAAAAAAAAAAAAAAGTCTGATAGAAAAAATGAATCCCGGTTCATCACATCTAAATCGCATGACCTAGCCAGGTACAGTGGCCCATGCCTGTGATGTTACCTACTCAGGAGGCTGAGGCAGGAGGATTGCTTGAGGCCAAGAGTTCAACATCAGCCAGGACAACATAGTGAGATGCTGTCTCTAAAAAAATTTAGAAACTGAGCCAGGCACAGTAGTACGTACCTGCAGAGCCAGTAACTTGGGAGGCTGAGGCAGAAGGACGTCTTGAGCTCAGGTCAAGTCTGCAGCAGGTGATGATTGTTCCACTGCACTCCAGCCTGAGAAACAGAGCAAGACTCCATGTCATTCATTCATTCATAAATAAATTTAATTTCTTAAATATTAAAAGAAATGATACATGACCTGATTTAGCTTCCCTGTGCCTCAGTTTCCTCATTTGAACAAAAGGAGAATAACAGTCACACCCCACAGAGTTTTGAAAGGATTCATTTGGGGGTGATGTGAGCAGTGTGCTGAGCCACCCCAGCACAAAACGCCCCAGTCTAGATAGCATGCCATGTCTAGATGTCAGAAAGGGCCATGGGGTGCAGAAGTGAGAGGGCCTAGCACCTGTCCCTTCCCCTCCCCCCAATCCTGCCATAAGCCAGCAGCACTGGGGTGAGGACACCCAGTCCCCACTCTGGCCTGTGAGTGCCCAGCCTCTGGGAGGCGAAGAGAGTATTGGTCAGCCACTCAGGCGGCTTTCCAGGGCCATGAGCAGCAATGTGGGCTGAGCCCTCCACGCAGGGTCTAGTTGGGCCTCAAGGGAGCTGCCATACCACCCAACCCAGGGGTGAGGGAGGTGCGGTGTTGATCTGAGCTGGAGGGAGCTCACAGGTGACATCCCAGGCAGTGTCGAGTCCTCAGCCCAAGCCTTCCAGGCCCACTGGCAGGAGAGAGCACAGTACCCAGGCCTCAAGATGAGCTTCGCAACCTCTAAGCCCAGTTTGGAGACAAACCTGGCCAGCTATCTCCTCTGAGAACCTGCAGAGAACCACAAAGAGGCTGGGATGAGGCCGGTCCCCCTGACTCCCCAGGTGACGGGTAGGGGAGCTCTATTTCTAACCAGGGCAACTGACTCTGCGACCTTAACCTCCAAGCACAAAGCCCACCGGCTGGGAAGCAGTGGAGCTAGGATTTGAATCCAGGCCTGCCACCCTTCAAGGCCCAGAGCAGATTCACTCTATCTGCATTTCCTAAGGTGCATTCTGCCCAAAAGCAGGGCCACGAAAAGCTACACACACACAGCCATACACATCCACAGGCATTTCTGGTCACAGGTGGTGCTGAGCTCACCTTCTCCTCTTCCTCATTTAAAGATCCCACACACACATTAGCAAATTAAAGGCTCTGACAAGTCCTGCAGGAAAGAAGTCTGGAATCAAACGCAGCTGAACATTTCCCCATCCTTTATGTTAATAAGACTCTTTTTGTATTGAATCCCTAATGAACCTCCTTTGGGAAATGCTGACTCTGTAGTCTCCAAGACCCACCTAGGAACTCCTCCCCCAAGAAGCCTCCCTGGGCAGCTGTGCTCTGTAGAGCCCATTGGCCTTCCCTTACTTGATTACAGCCTGTAAAGCTCCTTACGGCTGGGGGCCCCCACTCACCCACCTCCACCTGACCCCAGGTTGGGCTAGCTGGGTATACGGGGGTTGCAGGTGCCGGGAGGGCCAGCCCATGCACCTGCCTGTGGGCCAGGACGCCCACCCTGAGCTTGGCCTCCCAGGTGGAGGTGAGAGGAGAGGCCTAAGTGAAAGACCCGGGCTCTCGGGTGCTCATGGTCTCAACAGCGCCCTCCCCAGGCAGTTTTCAGCTGAGAAGCATCTTGCCCAGGGGGAAAGCAAGCGGGAAAAGAGCTCCAAGTACCAACCCAGCAAACGGCTCCTGTCGAATTTCCTGCCTCTCCCGTGCAATGCAGAGGAGTGACTGACCCACCTGCCTCAGTTTCCCCATCTGCCACAGGTAGGGCAGTGCAGGGAATAGAGCCGTGGCCTGACTATCAGGTGATGTCAGGTACAGTTCCAGGTCTCCCTGTCACCAGCTGTGTGACTCAGGCCGTTCTTCACCCTCTCTGGGCCTGACTCCTCCAGGGCAGAAAAGGCCTCCAGGATCTCTGCAGTCCCTTCCCACTCAGACCAGCAGAGAAGCCAATCACAGAGAGGTCAGTCAGTGGGAGAGGCCTCTCCCACCCAGAGCTCAGCAGCCCACCCACAGCGTGCAGTGAGGCATCACTGCCTAGCCTGGCCTCCTGTCCCAGTGGCAAGCCTGAAGCCACCACCTGGCCCAGAGGCCCCCAGTTTGGCCTCCATGACACCAGCTCACAAAGTGCCCAGCCCCAAGCCAAGGCACTGAGACCCTCACTTCCCTGAGACTTCCTGAGAACCCGATCCAGGCCAAGGGGGCAGGAGAGACGCAGTCTGGGTAACAATACCCAGACTGCCTTGTGAAGCCGCGCCAAAAGCCCGGAAGAGCCCTTCTGCAGGGGAAGCAGCCCCACCCGGCCTCCCAACCAACCACAGCCCTGGCTTCCGGACCTGCACCCACACGGGGGCTCGTGAGTCCCTCGCCACAGCGGTCCCTGGAGCCCAAGCCCCCATTCCTGGTCACCCACTCCTTCCTTCCACAAACCCTGCCCTTATGGAGCTCTTGGGCAAGGGAGGTCACTGTGATGGAATCTCAGGCCGCAAGAGCCCCATGGTCCCCAAAACCAGGCCTCCCACACCTACCCAGAACCCCAAAAACACCAAGCCTGGTCTCTGCTCACCCCTTGGCCAAAAAATGCCTCCAGAGTTTCTTCCCAGGCCTGCTCCGTGGCTGCGTGATTTGGCTAATTTTGGTTCCCCAAACAAGCCCCACCCTTTCATCGCCAGCTCCAGCAGCCTAAAAACACGCCCACCTCCTCACCTCCAAACGCCTTCTGCCTGCCAAACTCCTGCCTGCCCTTCAGGTTCAGCCTGAGCTGCCACCTCCTCCAGGAAGGCTGCCTGGTCCCCTCCCAGGCTGGCCTCGTACCTTAGCTTCCCCAGGGCCTGCACCTCCCACAGAAGCACAGGCCACCCTGACATGTCGCTACCTGGCTGCACGCCTGGCCATGCACTACCCAGCTCCCAGGATCTAACCCTGCCTGGTACACAGGGACATCAAACCCCATGCTCCACAGACTGGGTACAGCCGGCACTGAACTGGCAGCTAAGGACTGGGCCCCAACTCTGGAGTCCCCAGTCCCATCTGCATAAGCTTTGCCTCTCAGGACTCAGTTTCTCACCTGAGCAATGGGGATGAAACCCTTCTCCCCACTCCACAGCCTAGTCTAGAAGTAAAATGACCTTACAGCTATAAAACCTCATAAAGCCCCAGAACCACTGCACATGGAAAGGGGTCCATCCTACCACAGGAAACAGGGCGCATGTTGGCACCCCCAGACCTCCATCTGCCAAGTGCCCCTGGGCTCCCGCCTACAGCAGGTGCAGGGCGAGACACTGCTGCTGCGACAGATAGGCACAGGTCCCCTGTGGAGCTCATGCCGGGAGGAGGGCAGATTGTCATAAATGAGCCAAGCGAGGAAAAGGAACGGCAGGGCCGGGCAGTGGGGCGGGCGGGAAAGCACAGCGGAGGGTGCGCGAGCTCTGAGATCCAATAGCAGGGTGTGAATCGCAGCTCCACCTTGGAGGAGCTGTGTGACCTTGGGCATGTTCCTGAACCTCTCTGGGCCTCAGTTTCCTAACCCACAGAATCAACTGATAACAATACCCGGTTCTCAGGGGCTTCACGTAGACATGGGCACACAGCAAGTGCCGTCAGCCAGGGCCATCCCAGCTGGCTCCAGACACCAGGGTGAGCAGCCTGAAAAATCATGACATAAACAGGCACTGGGACACACTTCAGTACCAGGGTCTCAGCCTCACTCCTGCCTGCCCCCAAAGGGCAGCTCTGCTCTCATACCCCTGCCCAGCAGCTGAGCCTGACAAAGGGACACAGAAGCACTGGTCCCTGCCCCCAGGGGACAGAGCAGTGTCTCCAGGGAGTCTGGTTGTATCAGAAGAGGCCGCTTCCCATTAGCACAGATCCCCCTTAAAATAGCGCCTTCAGACAACTTCGCAGGGCTCCTCCTCCCAGCCAGATAGGGTTCAGGAGACAGGCCTGGGGGCCCAGGAGCCAGACGCACACGCACAGAAAGGAGGTCTCATCCCAGCCTATACCAGCGCCCTGGACCCCTGCTCCAGTGAGGAGATTCACAGGAGGAGGGAGACCCAGACCCCTGAGAACAGCAGCGGGGCCAAGACAAGCCCACAAGGCTGGTCCCCACTCCACACCCCGCCTGCTAGTGAGGCCAAGGGATGCGCTTATGAATGGGGCATGGCCTGCACCTTCAACACAGCTCCCACCAGGAAGACACACCAGCCCTGGCTGTGGAGCTCCCTGGGACTCAGTTTTCCCATCTGTGCAGAGCAGCTGCACCCCAGGATCCTGGGCGTCTCTCTGCCCGGCCAGTCGGTGACTCCAGGAAGCCACGACCTCAGGGAGCTGTGCCTGAGGCAGTGAGACTGAGCCGTTTCAGAGGCTAGCACCAGGCAAGCTGGCTACTTACAGGGGCAGGAAGGGCACTCTGGAGGGCAGGAGGGGGCTGGGGCCTGGAAGACAAAGCACCCCGATCAGAGTGTCCTGGGTCCAGCAGCCTCCAGGGCTCTGGGCCCTAGAAGGTGGGTGGTGGCAACGCCCACTGAAGGTACCTTCTGCCTTCCGGGGCCACGAGCTCCTCCCCAGGGGACAGGCCTGTGTCTGAGGGTCATGGCCACTCCTTCTGCCCCGTTACCTCCAGCAGGTCCCAATGCCCTGGGAAGAGGCAAGAATGGGTGGACCCTGGGGCCAGAAAACACAGCTGGAAACTGGGGCACCTGCACCAAAGACCTCCCTTGGCTCCCCTTTCCCTCAGGCCCAGTCGTGGGGTCATTCCATCCAGTGGTCCACGGCAGGGGGGAGATGGGCATAAAGAGGGGATGGAGAGAGGAGGGTACCCCGGCATCCCTAGGGTCCCAGCCACAGCAAAAGGGGGGCTCAAAGCAAGGCCAAGGGGGTGGGGGAGGCAGCCGAGTGAACGGCTCAGGAGCGGAGCCAGCTGGGCCCCCTCTTCTGCCCATGCTGGAGGACCCCTGAAGGAGGGCCTCACCTGGGGCACACTGCCAAGCAGGGGGTGAGGGGAACACTCTAGACAGCAGGAACTGTGGGAGCCAAAGGCGGGAAAGGGGCAGAAGAGAGCCAAGCCCTGTGGGAGGGTGAAAACATCAGAGGGCCTGGCCCAGAGTGGATGATGGGGACAAGCGGCAGGAGTGGGGACGGAGGTTGGGCCAGGCCCAGGAGGGCCTCACAAGCCAGGAGAAACTGACCAGGTGGCTGTGCTGGAGAACAGGGAGGACCTTCTTCCAGGCACAAGGTCAGCCATCCACCCCATCCTAACACAGAGTCTGCTCAAGTTCGTCTCAGCAGCACTGGGCTGTGCTGTGCTCAGAAAATGCCTGTGAAATCGGCCCATCAAAGAGGACAGGCCGGGCGTGGTGGCTCATGCTTGTAGCCCCAGCACTTTGGGAGGTCAAGGTGGGAGGGTCTCTCGAGCGCAGAAGGGGTTGCAGTGAGCTATATCATGCCACTGCACCCCAGCCTGGGCAACAGAGCCAGACCCTGTCAAAATTAAAAATGGGACAGCAGGTGGCAGCAGGAAAACACAGTCCTAAGTGTTCCAAGGAAAAAGGCCACCCAAGAGGAACGGAGCTCGGTCCCTGGCTCACCGCCCCACCCCCCTCCACCCCAACACTGCTCCCTTCTAGAAAGGCTTCCAGGCTTCTGGGGAGAGCAGGGAACAGACGGTACTTCAGCCAAGCAGGTCTGCGCTCAGGGCTGGGCAATGCCCTAGCCATGATGTGGCCAGTTGTGAGATCTGTGGGCAGCACCAGGTCAGGCCAGATGCCTATGGTGAGCCAGGGACACCGTGCCACTGTTCCTGGTGGGGAGGGGGCCATTGGACAAATGGGCTGGCAGGGTCCCCTGCACACACAGCTGGAGGGGCTCCAGCCACTTCATGGCAACTTCTCAGCCTGGGCACACTAGTCTCAGGTGCCTGGAGAGCGTTTTCACCCAGCTAGCCCTCCCATTAACCTACCTGGGCACGGCATCAGCCCCATTGTACAGATAAGGAAACTGAGGAACAGAGAGAAAGTGATTAGCCCAAAGGATGCAGGTGACAGGAGGCAGGGTGGGGGGGCCGCTCAACTCAGCCCTGCCCACCCGTACCTCCCAGCCTCCCCCAGGGAGGTCCAGTCTCCCACCCAAGGCAGGACACGGCAGAGGAGGGCCTCACAACACTGACAGTGAGAAACACGTCCACTTAAGTAGCGGCTCCGCTGCGCCAGGCGCAGAATGTGCATCAACTCGTTTGATCTTTACAACCATCTGATGCAGGGGGTACCATTACCAACCCCATTTCACGGATGCAAGAAACAGGCTCATCTCACACACTGATTGGGAGGAGGCAGAGTGGAGCTGAAACTGGTTCTGCCTGGAGGCGAGGGCTGGACCCGATGGCCTCCGGAAGACCCCTGCTTCTCTGGCTGGTGTTCAGATGTGGTCTCATTCTCCAGTCCCAGCTAACTTCCAGCTCTTGGCTACATGTGTCTTTTTTTTTTTTTTTTTTTTTTTTTTTAATTTTATTTATTTATTTTTGAGACAGGGTCTTGCGCCGTCACCCAGAGTGGAGTACAGTGGCATGAGCTCAGCTCAATGTGGCCTCCGCCTCCTGGGCTCAAGCAATCTTCCTACCTCAGCCTCCTGAGTAGCTGGGGCCACAGGCATACACCACCATGCTGGCTAATATTCATATTTTTTTGTGGAGTTGGCGTTGTGCCATGTTGCCCAGGCTGGTCAAACTCTTGAGCTCAAGAGCTCCACCTGCTTCAGCCTCCCGAAGAGCTGGGATTACAGGTGTGAGCCGTGGTGCCTAACCACACATGCCATTTTTTTTTTTTTTTTTTTTTTTTTTTTTGAGACTGAGCTTAGCTCTGTTGCCAGGCTGGAGTGCAGTGTCGAGAGCTCGGCTCACTGCAGCCTCTGCCCCCTGGGTTCAAGGGATTCTCCTGCCTCAGACTCCCAAGTAACTGGGACTACAGATGCATACCACCACGCCTGGCTAATTTTTTGTATTTTTAGTAGAGTCAGGGTTTCACAGTGTTAGCCAGGATGGTCTCCATCTCCTGACCTGATGATCTGTCCATCTCGGTCTTCTTTTTAAAAGAATACCTCCCTCCCACCCTATGAAAGGTTAGAACGGGCTGCTTGGATACAGGCACCCAGTGTGACCCACTCTGCATGCTCCCTCAAAGGCCTGGAACTTTCTCCAGCGGAGCTAAGCGCTGCCCTCT